ATAGTTTTGTATCTTCATGAATGTATTTTTTGTATAATTACCGTATCCTTGTCTCCAGTAAAAAATGACGATTAATAATTTGTTTTTATAATCATCTTGTAATAAAAGTAATCACCACTTTGAGTTATTTTATACATTTTTCATTTGTTTTGACCCCGACTATACTTATTATTAAAATTATACGATCAGATTCTGACCCTTTGATGGGAGCATAATCAATTTTTAAACTAACTTTAGGCCCAAGATTGAAGTTAATTGAAATTCCATGACAGCCAAATGGGCTGCATCGAGAAATCTTTTACAAAAACAATGCAATTATAAAATACAGGATACAAAACATAATCCATAATATCAATAAATATACAAAAAGAAGCATATGATATTAGAGAGAAATAAACTTGATTGAGTTTGGGTGCAATGTCCATCTTCAATCATAATATATTATATAAAGACATGCCACTCACATCATGGACTGTGCTCTGTAGCTGGTCTATCTAGATCTATGCTGCTATAAACTTGTCATGCATTTTATGAAACAGTGCATTTTGAAAAATGCACTGCGTGCCGCTTACAATAGAGTGTTATACATGCATCATTGACTTAGTTACCACGACTCTCTATCAAAATGGCAGTTCATAAAAAAGCAGTTGTTTATCTGTAACTGTCAAAACAGGGCATCTTTGATGCATCATGTGTTTTTTTATGATTCAGGTTCCAGTTGAATGAGTCTTATGAAATAATTGGAATCCCCCATTGATTTATGATTCTGAAATCGCATCTATGTAGTAAATGAAAAATACCCTCTTTTCACAATGGATATCCTTTTTCACTCCGTGTCTCCCTTTCAAACCGCTCTCCTTTCTTTCATTTTCTTGCCTTATCTCCTTGGTTTCTCTTGTTAGTGATCTGATATTTATAGCTTGTTGTTCAGAGTGTGTTTTCGATCTCGCTGAACCTTGACTTGATCCCTAACTGGCATTCACCAAAGTTCTGCTTCTATTTTCTAGTCTTTTATGGGATATCTATGACGGTCTTATCTTTGGTAAATAACAACCAAATTGCTTTTGGGGTGATGGGAATGACGTTTGTCGCGTTTGTAGAGCTATTATTATCATCCTAGGATTTATAGATCAACATTATAGATTTAATGGTGTATTTCACTCGTGATTGGGATAGATAAAGGTCCTATATAACATAAACATGAATGTGATTGTTTTGGGAATGATGCAACCCTTCTTTATCTAGCAAACATCGTAACTTCTTCGGGCCGTCTTAAATGATTTTACACCGCAAAACAAGGTTCAATCTCTTGAAAAAGGCCCACACCCAAACAGTACTAGAGCGTGCATGATTAGCTAAAATCTGAAAAAAACAACATTTGATATGCTCAGTCTCTGACTCTGTCCAGTATAACATATATTTGTACCCTTCTCGTTCACTTTATTTAAATGGAACTATACCGTAGCTTTCTTTTTGCCAAAGAAGTATCGCACTTCTGTGCAAACTACACCCGGGGGGGGGGGGGTGTCCCACATAATTAAGACATACGGGGGTGTGCCGCTCTAATGGGTCATTTTTTTTTACAAAGAAATCCCTAAACATGGGTCCGTCTTTTCAACATTTCAAAAAATGTCGGGAAAGACCCCCAAAATGGGCTTTACTTCGAGAGAAATCCCCCAAATCATCCTTAGAAATGGGTAGGTGTTTCGATGCTTCAGCGGCACACTCCCGTCAAAACCAAATCTCAGAACCCCCCACCCCACCCCCCCCCCCCCCCCCCCCGGGTAACTACACCATAAGACGTTATTTTGAACATATTTGCTAATTTTCCCGGGGGAGGGTGTTAAGTTTTGACATAAGCGTAGCCAGGGGACAGAAGGAATATGATGGTCAAGACCCTTAACCCTCTCCCATTTCGTCTACCAGTTACTTTATTATTTTGTCACCCCCCCCCCCCTCCCCCACCACACCCGGGTCCGCCTATGCCCTCTCCGGGCCCGTTCAAAATCTGCCGCTACCTCAAAGTGGGTATTATCATTATGAGCAATGCTGCATTCTTCAACTTAGTTCATACAAATTGAAAAATCATTGAATATAAGAACAATTGGTCTGAAATCATGAAGTTGATTAAAATGTCCGACTGATATCCCGCCAAAATCTATTACTTCCGATATAAACTAAAACTCACAAGTATGTTTTACATGTCTTGATGACTGGCTTCATCAGTATCTTGAACGATTATCTTGGATGATAGTGAAGGACTTAGAGAATTAGCGGAAGCATTAATGGACTGTAACACGATGAGGAAGATAATTACTAGTAGTGAGATGTAGTAAAATCAAAATCAGACATTCGGACAGCGCGGTTGTAGTTTTGGGTAAGGCCTAATTAAGTAATTAGGCTTCACTTCTTTCCTATCATAGCGAATTTTCCTGGACGTCGATAAACCTTTAAATCGAAATAATCATGTGGCTACTTCCTTTTTAATTTTTTTTAAAATAACATTTTCGTTTTGCGTAGGTTTGTTCTGACCCCACCCCGCCGCCCCTCCCTCTCTCCGGCTCCCTCCTATTATACACCGTCTCTCAATTATAATTTGGGGGCAACTTACGTGTAATGCCGCATGGTTTTGTGAGAACTTACGTGTAATGCCGCATGGTTTTGTGAGAACTTACGTGTAATGCCGCATGGTTGTTGTGAGAACTCAAGTATTTTGATGAAAGATTACGAGGGGAGTTTTTTCGCAGAGCGGGGAGTGTGTGCATAGTCATGGTCGTGGAATTTATGAAATACTCATCCATTCATTTACTCATTAAAATCAATGTAAAAGGAAACAAAATCATTGCAAAACTATTAGGCCTACGTAATGTTCCTGTAGGCAGTAGGACAATACGAATATTTTTTTACTCGAGAAATATTGCCCCATTTATATGAAAAACAAGTTTATAGGGGAATACCACGGACTTGTGGTGCAATATAATGTATCGCATATCAAATAGCGTGGCATGATTTTATTCAACCCCGAATTTATACTTGTTTATGATTAATCAGACAATCATCTTTCGTTTTGACACATGATGCAACTTAGGTGAGTCATGAATTCAAACCCCGATTCAAACGTACGTCAGATGTTTTTCAATCTGAATCGTATTTTGTTCGTGTGCAGTGCATCATGACGATTGCTCGTGGGTTTCTGAGCTGATGCATGAGTTCACGGACTGACCTGTGACCTACTTACTGAGGATTGAAGCCTGGCGAGCAACGTCTCCATTTTCTTCTGCATGGCCTGGTTCATGTGCACATTAAATTGTAATTGCTTTTCCATATGTTCAATTCTTAAAGGAGGCCTGAAACAAATTACATTGTGAAACTGTATCTATCTTTATTTGCAATATAAAGGTGTTTTATAACTGACTCTAGATATAATAACAAGCCTTTTGATTTTCCCCTGTTGGAGTGGCGAATTTTGTATGCCGCCAATAGGGGTTTTGACTTTTATATTCTTTACTGGATATTATGTTCATAAAACACTATCGGAAATATTTGCCAGAAATCAACCAAAGCCTATAGACAATTTATAGGTCTACCCTATCATATAATTGCGTATATAAAATCGCGTTCAAAGTAGGCCTATAGGTACTACCGATTGAAGAGGCAGCCCCCCCCCCCCGCCCCCTTGAACTTTGACATTTACAATTCGTTTTCGGGCGTGATTATTGTATTTGATTGAAACATTTGCTCACTGTGTTTCACTTGCTCGCAACTGAATTTAGAAACTACATTATGTCAAGAATGTGATACTGATAGGCCTAAAACGGTCAGCCTTCTCCCTTTCCCTCTACCCAGGGGGCGTCGCTAAAGGTGGAGGGGGGGGGGCATGGGGTGCGACACCCCCCCCCCCCCCCCACCACCTATCAGGATTTTGTAGGTAAAATTGCGCTGGCGTCGGGAAAAATGAGAAAACTTAGGGGGAGGGAAAAATGAGAGGGAAATAAAAAGAAAAGAAACCCCCCCCCCCCCACTGAAAAAGGTCTAGCGACGCCCCTGCCTCTACGCCCCCCCCCCCCTCCCCCTCTCCCTAGCGAAAATTGGGCCCATGCCTTTGTAATTTGTATTTCGTAAGAGAAGAGCAATAGGGAAATATGGTCGTGTTGTTAATAACGCTCTACCTAACAAAAAAATGTAAGTTAATCTTTTCATAGTAGGATTGTTTGAATCCATGTGATAGAACTCTGAATTGTGAAATCTGGGTCACTCTTTATAGAGTCAGATAACAAAGCAATTCTAAAACTGTCAAGTTTCAATACCATTCAAATGTGCAATGAAGTGGAATTTTTCAGTTTATAAAACAGGGATATCTGAACAGCTGATTGTTGGATTCTATAATGATTAATGGTGTTCATTGTCCCATCCTATTGTGATGAGGGTGATCTATTCTGTTTTTGCTGCTGTTTTTTGTTTTATTCTTACCAAACAGGGCCTCATGGAAGACCACCAAATTGGTGATATGTGCCACCCTGTATAAATATCAGAAATAAATAAGCTTAATCCAGATGCAATCATCTCTCTCTCTCTCCTCCTCTTCTCTGTCTCTTTCTTCCAATCCCTTCTCTCTCTCTCTCTCTCTCTCTCTCTCTCTCTCGCTTTCTTCCACTCACTCTTCTCCCTCTCTGTTCTTTCTATCCACCCCTTACTTTCTCTTTCTGAATTAAATCCTATCTAGATTTAGGTCCTACATCTTCATCATCGTTATCATTGGGGCAATTTGTTTGACTTTTTACTTGAAATCAATCTACTTCCACACAATCAGATTACAGTCTTTCAGTATACAAAACGCAATCATAAATTCCTTTTCATCAAGCAGAAGACAATTAAGTTAAAAATTCACTCCTGTGCTAATGGCTCGTAATCAACTCACACCACTACCGGTAAGCCCAAACTCATCCTCTACCAAAAAAAATTACATCAACGCAAGTAAATAAAAGAAAAAGATCCATCTGTTATATTTGAATATTTTTTTAATTTTTTTACCTATTTTCTTTGGTTTCAAAATAGTGAAAGTTCATTTCATGACAAATTAGATATCAATGTAAATGGCGATAACGTATCATTCTACAATACATGTTACATGCATTAATATCATGACAAAGTAATTTTGAAGGAGTAATTTAATACCGAGGACTGCTATAAGCTATCACGAAGACCCTATGAGCTCAACTTCTAAACTAAAATAATTCACATGTACATTGTAGAAACGAGTCTACATATCATCAAAACAAAATACACGTCTGCTGCGTTTATCAAATTAATCATAACAACAAATCAGATGTCAAATATTTGATATCAAGCTCCAATTGTGACCAATCCTGTTGGTGCATCAATCGGAATGCAATCATAATCAAATGTATGTTACAACAAATACAAACAGAAATCCCTTTCTGCACAGTAAGATTGTACAACTAGCACCTCCATGTAGATGGCATGTAATTCTAAGATTAAAAAAGCATTCATGAACAGAATTCTCTGTTACAAATTATCAACAAATTAACTACTAATGTAGTAGAAAGACTTTTTTTTAAACATCCATATATACTACCAACAATATATGCATGTATGAAGCATAAAAAAGAAATGCAATTGCAGTTACTATACTTCTATACAATAATGTGATATTTCAAAATCACTTTCAGCCTATCCAAAATCACTAATATACTGTAAGTATGTAGCATACTGACACCTTTTGAATGTTAGATCATCAATATGATTGAACATCGATCTCAATACTTGTAAAAATCCATCAATTTCTCCTTGTCAAATGTTTGACAAAATATAATTTGATTTGACAAAAAGGCATGGTTCGAAGAATGAAACAGTCTTAGATGTAGCATTTAAGAACATGATGAGGGGATTTCAATACATGTTTATCATTCTTGTCACTTGAGTCTGTAACAAGATGCAAAAATTGTAACTACAATATGGCTCAATATGTGTCCACTACTGTACATATCAGTATAGAAGATTGAGTTGAACATTCAAGAAATATCTTTTAAAGCACATGCATTGTCAAGAAAAAACCTTGTGGTTCAGCAAAAAGGGTAGTGCAGTGGGCTAATACATTATTTCAGGTTTAAAACATTGTATCTTCTGGATATGGTTTGTACATGTACCAGCATTTATAAGCCATTAAAAGAAGAAAATAATTTCACATGTACAACCTTGTATTTGGTCACTGAAGAATAGACAGAACACTTTGAAAGACTAGTACTACAAGACAAATGAATGCCCATCAAGTTAATTCTGCTAATTATTTTGAAATTAATGCCAATGCAATTTGCATCCACAAAGTAAATAACATTGACCCATTTCCACATCTATCCTAAGAAATGTCCAAAAGATTTCTTGCCAATTGGCATCCAGATAAATACTGATTGGTTAACAAGCACTTCACTTTGATCATACAATGATGCACACAGTTACTAGAGCAATTCAGGAGGTATAATTTCATTAAAAATATAGCTATACTCAAAGTAAGATAGAAACTTCATCAGGTGATGGTGAGGTAATAACGTACATGAACGAATACAACATAAGGACTTCAAACATTCTAATTATGGCAATTCAATTCCATACTACATGTACATGCACATAACTCTTTCGAAAAATATAGAGACCATCATACATGTGCATGTAAAGTTGGAGTATTTCAAAGGGAAGCTTGCTTGGTTAAAGTCCTCACGTGTACATGTTAGGTGGAAAATGTTTGAATTGTTTTGCAAAGGTGTTTTGAAATGATAACCTAGAAAGCAACATTAAGACAAGGCACACTATATGAGTCTCTGAGATCTAGTCCAGGATGCTGATCTATTGTACAGTAGTAGTATAATACTTCTCAGGTCAGCTCATGGAATTAGAAGTTACAATTCCAAAGAGTAGACTGTAAAACACATAAATAATTAGTCGATGTGAGAACTAAAATGCACATCTGGGGCCTTTGCATATGTTATGATTAATCGCAACTCTAAAAATCAATAAGACTTTTCACCAAATATTTTCGTATACTTAGGACTTGTTCGACTCTTTAGTTGCATTAAATCAGATGAATATCTATACAAGAGGCACCAGTATAAACATATTTTTTTTAAATCCTCAAACATGGACTATAATTCCCTGAAGTGATAACTGAATCTTCATCAAGACAGCATTGTCCCATAATCTCATGTCTTACTTCTGCACGAAACTTCTTAATTAAAATTTAACATCGATGCACAAATGCAAATTAAATTATATCAAAGACCACAATATCCTTTCAGTGGATTGAATGAAAACAAAGACCAAATGCATTTCACTTGAAAATATGCATATGATCCATGATAGAGAGATGTTTAACAAAATCTGCGCTTACAGGCAACTTTGTAATTTTACATTTCAAAAAACAGAAAAAAAGCAGCACATATAAAAAGCTCATAGGGAAGTGTCCCCATTCTACACTAACCTCAGTAGGTATTGATCTTGCAAAATAACATTGATTACTCCTTCATTACATTAATCATAATCACCATAGCAACAAGGAAATTACATAATTTCCTTGTTTGTATATCATCATAGCCGAGCCCCATGCTCCATAAAACGGAGCAGCTCTATTTCCAGCTGGCTAATACTGCACACAGGGCAGAGATAGTCGACGAGATGCTGGTTGGAATTAAAGAATTCCAACCTTACTACTCTGAATTCCCTCAGCGCAGGTGCCTCCACTTTGAGAAGAACCCCAATCCCCTTCTAGCTGAATTAGTTCTCATGTCCACTACAGTATGACCATTGCTAGGGTCATCCCCTTGACTATCATCCACCAAGGGGCTTGAACGAACGGCTGTCCCTGGGCGGGGTGGTGTTCCTGAGGCGGTAGGCGAGTGTCCGACACAAGCAGAGTTTTGCCTATTTAAACTGGAACTAGAAGATGACTGAGATGAAGACGTCACAACCGATGTCCTGAAGCGCTGAGGTGAACCGTGCGGACTCAGGAAACGCTGAGGTCTTTGGGCCAAGGAAACCACCGTCGTCTTTGGCGATGAGGGAACAGGTGGCGGCAACATCCTAGTATGTGCGGTTATAACTGGAGATCGCAATGGTGACCCGCATGCACATGTAGCAACTACCCCTGAAACCTGGGTTACAGTTGTCGACAAAGGTCTCCCTGGGGTGGAGGGTGAGTTGAGTGTCGTGTTGCTACCACTATTGTTCTGATTCTGGTGTTCCTGCTGTTGCTGTTGCCGTTGCTGCTGCTGCAGAAGTTGCTGCTGTAGGTGTTCAGGAAACTGTGTCCCTGTCGAGAGTCTTGGCTGTGACAGGATCTGCGTGCTTGGCATCGAAGCAAACACCGGTATGTTGCTGCCGATGATGTCTGAGTAACTTGGGGGAGCATCAGAAGGACTTGGAGTACTGTTCAATGATGAGGAACTCCTGAAAAGAACAAATGAAAACAAAAATTAGTCATGATATCTTTTCTCTGGGTTAACAAGGTCTGATGAAATACTTCAAAACAATAATCTCTATTTAAAAGATCATACAGAACTATTCACACTGTAAATGAGAAAACTTCCAAGATACAGAATCCAAAATATGCAGGTGAACAAAATGCACAATGTATACGGGTAAGTCAATTATGAAAATTGAGGGAAAATAAAATTGGAGCAGAAAGGTTTCATAGCCCAGGGAACTCCCCTTTAATGTCCATGAAAATGCTGCGCTGCACTTTCGATTCTTGGAAATCCTAGCTCCTCAGAGACAGGATATGATTGAGCATAACTAGATAAAAAGAAAGCTGCTAATTTGACCATGCCTCCGAGAGGCATCACGCAGCAACAGGTTGTCAGTTTTTGGCATGACAGCCAACTGTTCAGCTGCTGCAGTCATAATCCTAAGTTCACTGTACTTTCCTTAACCAATGCAATCCATTTCACATCCCACTCCAATTGAATCTACTTCACAGTATATCAAAACTATTATGAAGTCTTTAGCATCAATTTTTCTCTTCCAAAATGATTTGGCTCTACTAGTCTCTCATGGAGTACAAATTTGATAAATAACGACTGTAGGTGGATATATGAAGAGATTTTTCCTGAGGGTATGGTCACATGAGCCACACTAAATTCAGGGCAATGGCCAGGAATGTAACTTTGAAACTTTTCTTTAGATACATTCATAATCTTCAATATTGTAAATGATGTATATTTTAAAGAAATACTGGTAGTTTCCCTTCATTTTTAATGAGGTACATGTATTCAAACTAGGTTTAGTGTTGTGTAAAAATGTAAATTTGACTAGTTTATTTCATCTTCATGAATTTATCCTTTAGTTCAAACATCCGTATGAGATTCGATAAGCAAGAGTCAAATTACTTGAATTACTCAATACAATATACCGCACCAAGAGCAAGTGTCCTTTGTGCATGCATAGGGGAGGATACAGGTTTCAATTTGAAACAGCTGATTACGCTGGTGGCACCACATGCTGCTATGATTCATACAACCTACACCTACGCATGCGTAGGCACTTCTGTTTCTTGAAAATCACTTTCAGGGACTTTTTTGGATTGAGGGGCCAAATCATTTGTCTTGGGCGAGGTATCAAAGCTTGAATATGTTGTCAATGAATTTGCAGAACACAGACTGGCAAGGTGAATGTAAATTCACATGAATTAATCATTGTTTAGATAATAGAATGCACAAACACGCTTACTTTTGCAAGGACACATCTCTTTTACACAAAATTTGGGGGTGAATAGAGGTATGACAGATCATATAAATTTCATTTGAAAAAATGCTATCTTTTATTTTGCCTATGTGTACTCCACAAAATGGATCAACAGAGTTTAAACTTACTGAGTTATTGCTTGGAGGCGGCCTCGGTGGGGTGGGGGACAATGGTTACCCCCTACTGGAAGACTAGTGCTAGGCCCCTCTCCGAGACATGGTATGGCAGCTTCCACATTGTAAGGAGGGGGTGGCGTGTCGTAAGACACAGTCTCGCCAATCTCTGAGTATGATGGTAATTTACATGGTGGTACTGCAGAAGGAAAAAACAAAATTAAATATGGTAATTTCATAAGTTGATAAGAAATGTGATGGAATTTTAAAAACTTCAGCTACTGTACTTATCAACTTTAAAATTTTGCAAGGGTTTCACAAATGGGGAACACTCCAACTATAATGTTCGGTCTTGAGGGATTCCCTCACATGAAGTTTTGATATCGAATAGACACTGATAAAGAATAATAGCAAGGTAAATCATAATGTAGTCAAAGATTTTGTATATAATATCTTGAGTGAAGTACTGTCCATTTCGAATGCACAAATAAATATCCAGTTTTGGTCAGGTCATATTCCCTGATGTACATAATCTGTGGGTTAGGTTGGTATCATCATCCATATATGCCTCGCATCTTTCACTAACCTGGAGTAACGTCTGGGAAATTGTAACCTCTGCCAAGAAACATATCCTGGATGGAGCAGGTGCGTTCGCATCGGTTGTCTCTCCATGGGTGGAAGCGTTTCCTCTGCCACACACAGAACCCAATGATGAACACGATCAGAAACCAGACAAGCCAGAACCCTGTAGCAAGAACAAGCGCATATCAAACATTATAACATAAGCTTAGAAAAGTTGGGTAGATAGATTATATGGAATTATTTCTGATCAATGCATCGCATTTATAAACCAGACTAGCCAGAGCCCTGAATAAAGCACACGCAATGCGGCATATGATTGACATTTCATATTTCAGAGTATCTGTAATTCTGATCAATGCATTAATAACTCAGAATACCTACAGAACAACGGTTGGATAGGGAATGTTCTAGCTGCATCTTGAACTACATGTATAAGACTTTGACTCACAGCTGAAACATATCAACTATTGAATAATCATATGTGCATAAATCTATCAATCTACATGTATGTGGAGTGGAAAACATGTAAAGCAAACTATTCTGTCATTGAAAAACTGTAGTCCCATTGATCTTGATCCCCCCCCCCCCCCTAATGAATCTGAAGTTTGTTCTGCACAACGATACTGGTACAAGAAAAGTAGAGTTTTAGAATTTATGACCGTATTGTATGTGTTGGGCAACCAAATGACCCTAGTTGATTCAAAGATAACTATGTGCAATATTCTTATTTGATGCGATGCAGTAAAATATAAAACAAATATTTCATAATATGGTAAGAAACCCAGAGTCTTTGTCAAGGCATGCACATACTCATAATCTATACTACAGTTCAAAGTCTATAGCTGAGACAACAAGTGTCAGCGACAAAAATATCTCTAGAAAGAGACACTTCATAATAAGATGATTATTAATATATAAATATTTATTCAGTGGGTTGTATTCATCTAAAATTTATTGCAAAGATAAAATGTATGTCTTTGTCTAACTGTTAAGATAGGAAGACATACATTTGACTACATGTACATGTATCTGTGTACATACACCGGAACATGAATAGGAAGTCTAAACAGTCATTTTAAAGAAACATAAACAGAATATTAACAAAGATGAAATCAGTTTAATACAGTAGAGGATCAGCAAAGCTTCATGATCACATTACACGATGATTGTAATGTAGCTGACAAGGACATTGAAACTGAAGTTGCGGGTCATTTATGTAGATAAAGGGCAACAACATTCTCTGATTACAATCCAGAGTGTTTTCTTCCGATGAACCCAACCTAGATATGAACATCATTGAAAGCAATTGTCAAGGCATTGGCCTGGTCATGCATGCATGCAAACTGGGAGAAGTTCAAGGAGAAAGGTCCATGGGGAAGCAGCATGGTCTGGAACCATCCAAAGGGAAGTGATAGCAACACTTGTTTACGCTCTCAGCATGAGGCCAATAGTCTTGCTACCCACAACATAAACTATTTGTTCTAAGTAGGCCTTGTGGAGGCCTGGGCCCCTGTATTACAAATACAAAGAGTTGATATCAATCACAAGTATATACATAAGAGATAGGAGACTGCAAACTTGCGATTGATTGGAGGACTTGCGATTGATTTGGATCAATCGCAACTCTTTGTAAGACAGGGCTAAAACTAATGTAAAAGCATGTACCTGTACAATTTTGTATTTTTCAAAAAAACAAAACAGAAACTGCGGAGAAGGTAGTGTTACTTTAGTTTTAATAGGCCTTCATATGATCGTTTAATTATGGTTCGCACGGCTACTGTGGATTCAAGGTAAATGAAAAAAGCTGCATACAGTACAGCATGGGCTCTTTTAAATACAGGTAAACCAAAAAAGAGAAGAGAAGAAGTCTCGAAGAAGATCAGTACAAGACTAGCAGCAGGTTACCAGGAAATCACTCTCTGTTGGTTTACTGGGGCACCTTGCAAGCCATTTTCAAACCACAAGCCTATTAATTAATGACCACATAAGTATCTCCTCGTAATTAGATTGATCATCAAATCAGCTGTGATACTTTGTCATGCCTGAAAACAATGGTGATTCTAGTTGCACAAACGACAATGGATAGGGACAAGTGGCTTATAATTGGCACTTTCTGTCATGTACTGTTCGGTCATCCCTTCTCAGTTCCAAGAATAAACATTTTTTTACACACTTTTCTTTTCTTCAAAATTCATGTAAGCCCCCACCCTTTACTCAGTGTTGACTTCAGTACACTTTATGAAAAATACACAAATGACACCATTTTCTGCTTCACTCATTCTACCCTTTTTATTCATTTTGAATTAACCTACATGTACATGTACATGTACATGTAAGCTTACATGTATGTACATGTACATTGCAATCAATACAAGGCCAATACATGTAAATTAGATGTGGAAAATTTCCCTTTAAATTCTGTCTTCTTTGATTTCATGTTACCTTCCAACATGTGCTATAAACCAAGCTCTCAATATATGTATTACAAAACACACATGCACTGCAGCTACATGTACAGTACTGCAATGTTTAAAGGTATAGATTCAAGACACGTGACTGAATCTCTCCAGTGCAGTAAACAAGATTGCTGAGGAGAGGCCTGGGAGGGTAGAAAATAGGAGCTGGATTTGGCCTCTGACCCCGTCCCTCCAGCAACCCGCGAAATAAAGAAGGCTTGCTGCAAACAAGGAAGGAGTAGAGTGAGCTAGTACAAAAGGCTACAGGGTTTGAATGACCTGGTGATCTTTGAGACAGATTTAGACCTGGACGAGAGATTTACGATTAAGATCATTTAAATCTCCCAGTTCTTTGTGGATAGGGTGACAGGGTAGTAAACACCACAGCTCGCCTCATGTTTCACCGAGATATTGAACATAACAACTAGGACAAAAAGAGCACACCCGTGTAGCTTTACTTGAAAAGAATATATTGGAAAAGAATTTTCTCTCATAAACAACCTTCTCATCAAATACTTTGTGATGTAACATACAGGCATTAATCATTCTTTGGAATCACATACATGTAAATTCTCAAGTGACATTTCTAGTCATGATGAAGAAATGTTGCCCTATTTCATAAAATACAATTGTGCAGATCAGGTACATGTAAACTGAAACTGTAACTTTAAGCAAAATAAGATTGTACTGTTAACTTCAATTCTGACTAATCTTTGACAGGCTTATGTTTCCATGAATTACATTTTAACAAGATTGATGAAAAACTCAGCCAAAAGATAGAATTTTATCTAGTATTGGAAATAATATTTCTGCCTGGGTACCTCAAGGCATACTTATGAACTTTCAATAACTTGAACCGATGTTTCTTCAGTTCTGAAAAATTTCAAGGAAACGCGTCAGCTAACAAACAGAATGAGTCAACTCAAAACAACTTCAAGTTCTTTCACCTCAGCAAACTAGATAACATTCAGCTCACCTTCATAATCCACAAAAGTATGGCCTAAATTCTTGGCAACTTGCAATTTTACACCTATACCTGGATTTTCCAGAATGTCTGGAGTATTTAATAACAGATGTTAGGCATGTGCAAAGATGCAACAGTATTTATGTAGCCTAGATGTAGCCTACCAATTTACATGTATCCCTGGATTTTCCAGAATGGCTGGAGTATTTAATAACAGATGTTAGGCATGTGCAAAGTTGCAACAGTATTTATGTTTCGGTTTAATAAAATTTGGAGTGGACTATTAGGCTATATTATTATTATTATTATTATTATTATTATGTAGCCTAGATGTAGCCTACCAATTTACATGTACATGTACACGTAGATGATGGGTATAATGCTACTTAATATTTATAATAGTGAATGCTGATTTGGGCTGTCCTTAATAGCTTAGATAGCCTGCAGGAGAGGAAACTGGAAAACGCACGCCTGTTAATCATTGATCCGCCCTGGGATTTTTCTCCTTATTAACAAACAATAATGTCAAAGGGAAGTGTCCATCAGCAACCTGTTATCAAGATTTACCTGGGAAAACAGCTAGAAGAAGCCAAGTTGCACCTGGGAAACATAACTGTACTAGCTCAAACTAAATTTACATTTTTAGTTTTCTACTTTGCGTGATAGCACCTAGAACTTTGAACTTAAAAAAATAATCCATCCATCAATGGAATAAATCAAATTATGGTTAAGTGAAGCCTTTAAAAGTAATATATTCATCATTATTTTTTTATATTTTTTAATGAAGGTTCAATATATCTAATCAGTTCAAATAGTCTTCGATCTTCCACATGTATTTTCATTAAGGCAATCCTACCTACCAACGTATGCAATTCGCATTCTGACTATTGAAATACAATTATTTGTAACAAGGCACTACATGTAACTAAGATTTGATTACATTACCAAAATGGTCTATTGGTAATTGTCTTGATCTTTTCAAATGAAGGGCATGAACCTACAGGAGAGAAGTGGAGCACACTTTTCTCTGCAAGTCGAGTCACATGGTGAAGTAGGGTTGCTATACACATGACAAACTGTTTATACGCAACACACAGCTGGAGAGATGTTGTTAAGTAACCTTTCTAGGAAAATGGCAGCAGCAAAATGCAATGACAATGACATTTGGACCTCATCCCATTTACTCCAGTTATTCGTTTCAAGTTCGTTCTCAATTGGGGGCATCCAGCAGCAGACTTCGAAGAAAAAACTTGTCAATTCTTCCTTCCCTAATCGCTATGTGATGACGCAGGCAGCCTAGACTTCAAATAAGGTAAAAAGGAAATGTAAGACACACTTGGTGCACATGTACTTCGCTTATTCCCCTAATGGAAACTTCTACTGGGTCACATGTGTAGATATAATTATGGTGTTCATACAGTATGTTAACATACATATCACCTGTACGTTTTCATTTCAAATTTACAGACACAATCATCATTGCTGAAAATATGAGAAGGGTATCAATTAGATTAGCTTTGAGAGATAACCTTGATAAGAGAACGATTCGAAAAAGACCATCTGAGGAATAGCACACTTGTTACCTGGCATTATTCCAAGATGTTTCTATCAAGTGAATCTACTGTCAACAATCAAGGGCTTTTATCATTGTTTAGCTCCTGACAAATTTCTTCTCTTTACACAACCTATTAAGATGTTTCCAATGCTACAATTGGCTTCTTGGGAACAAGTATGGTCTTAAGACAATAATCCTAACCACCAATTTATAGGGAAAGTGAGGGTGCTCTAATGGAGTAAACCATGCCAAGATTTGCTTCCATTTCAAAGACTGAAATCAAAGTAACTACTGGGTATTCTTCCTTGTTAAACAATGTTTTTTCTCCTAATTATTTAAATTATTTGTTTCAGGGAAGAAAGAAAAAGATAACTGAAACATGTTCATTCTATCTTTATTTTCAACTCAATTGATGCCTCTTGACTTTTCTGTTTGTGATTTTGGTACACTGTGGTATTGGTGTCCTAAAACGGATTTGCCATGATAAAAAGTAAACTTACACAGAGAGTGTACAGGCCTAACAAAGCCAACGAGTCATGTACTATTATATTTTGGACATAGTTGATAGCATGCTTTGCAAATACTTACACCAAAGTTCGTAGTAATATGTACAACATTCGCCGCTCCCACAACAATGCCCCGTTTCGCACCAATATCCTTCCACTTGGCAGAATTCCCTTGCCTGTAAGAAAAAAAGAGAAAGGGAGATACAGAAAAAAACAGAAAGATTAGTCATCTTCACTATTCAATTAACTTCAATTTTTCATCATCTCAAATTATTTACACTTGTCAACATGTAATTCAAAGGTGTAAAATATTCTCCGACATGTTTTGTTTTGGAAATTTATATCAAATTACCTGAGTGTGGACTTCACATCTATAAGTACTGTTCATTTATCTGTACAATATGGGGAAAGTACTTGACCCATCTACCTAGAGTCATTGACTTTTCTATTGTTTTGTAAAAGTACTGGTAGAGGAAGCTCAATACAAACACAAGGCCTGCTAATCATTGTGACCTACATTTAACTAATCCAATCTACTTCGGATAAAATGACTGTTTACTTCCTTTTGTCTAGATCAGAATAACATTCATAGTTGTTATTGTCCACTGACCAGTGACAATATATATCAGGTGTATTCAGTGATAATCAAGTTTATACCGGTAGTCATTCACAGCTGAAAAGACAATTAGTTTGAACAAAAATACAGGCCTGCATTTGGCTACATATAATCTAAAAGCTGACATTATAAATCAGTCTTTGGTGCTCATTAATGTATTATTTATAACATGTTCTGATGTTCTACATCCAATCAAGTAATATGTATATGTATATCAAAGGCCTATAGTTGATGGAGACCATCAATTACTGACAGATCTACATTTTGAACGTTTCTATGGATTGATAATAAGGCGAACATTCACAGAGGCAAAAAAAAAATCATTACTAAGTTGGCATCTTCATGTCACAGTGCTTGATGCAATCATTAATCTTCTTTTGAAGGGAGCATCTTCTATTTTCTTTACAAAGAAACTAACCAAAGGTTCCCCTTCCATTGTTATGATCCATCGGGGACTATCTGAGGCAAATGTAAGGACCAATCAGGGTGAACAACAGGCAGAGAAAAGAGAAGGTCACTCTAATAACCCACTTCAATGGAACAGCGTCGTTTGTAAGAAACATTCAGGGTATAATAATGTTTAAGATAAACTACACTGAAGGCTATACCGAGTAAACAGAACATTATTGCATTAAGTCCTTGATTATTTTTCAGTTGAAAATCTAAGATGTCCACTGGACCAAAGGCCAGCGAGACCGAATATGATAAAAGTTCTGTGAGGCTGCACTTGCAAATCATGTGCATTATATCTTGGTTGAATGTTAGCTGCTTATGGTTGACAGAATATACATAAGTAATTTCCTATCCACAACAAAATGAATAAATAATTATAAAGACCCTATTGCACACAAGATTCATCATGACACTTTTTTTGTATGCATCATTGCAACTGTGGAAGTGTTGTTGTCATTAATTTTGCTGATGCTAAAGGTGCCCTATAAAAGATTATTGAACTACTGTTGTTAAAGTTACCTACAGCCTGCCTTTGTTTCCTTGGACTAAAATGAAACGGGTTAGTGTATTACTTAAGCCACAGTGAAGGCACGCTCCATTTTTTCTTCTAAGGTCATTCTCTTTTGAAATGTCCACACAATGTAAACAGGACTATGAATAAGGATTATGTTGGCCTACATTACACAGACAAATGGCCAATTGGGCTTCAATCAATGTAGTGTCCATCACAACATGGAAAACTGTATCAAGGTTTGGTTATTCAGTGCTGGCCTGCTGTACAAACATCACTTTCTAGAACATAACTATTATTTCCTCTGCCAGATGGAGTGTGATCTTCTTCGCATGCATGTACATGTAGAAGGCCTACATGCACTTGAAGGCCTGCCTGTACTGTAGCTTTGTAGGGAGTTTATTCATCTACACAACAGCCAATTTATGAATCTATCGCCACACTGTGGTACGTGTAAGTAATATTCTGGCATTCAATAGCTACCTGTTTATTGAGAAAGTACCTGAGGCTGGCAGACTTGCCTTATAAATGCCAGCATCAAGTTGAATTTGAAGCTAAGAAATGTTGCTTACATGAACACTATTCTGACCAACCAATAGCCCCCCCCCCCCCCCAATTTTCACTTAATCCTATGTTTAGGAAGATAGTCTTGCAAAAATGTGAAATAAAAAGGAGGGAAAAAATCTTTCACTAGCTGCCATTTCTAAATGTCATCCAATATCACATGCAATAAGATTCAAGACTGAACAAGACAAGATGCCGTCTACTTTGTATTAGAGACAACTCCCATTCCTATGCCATGCACAGAACGTGCTATCCCATTCTTGTTCCAACAATGGTTTCTTCTTTTGTATTGATCTGTCCCTTACAAGAGTACTGTATTTGTGATAGACCCTCTCGTATTTTTATCCCCCATTTATTGGTTCAAAGGATTTTGGTAAGAGAGAGAGACACTGGACATTATCTCTCCCTAGACTACCCAAATACAATAGTCCAGGTGCACATAAACAAACACATTGCTCTCTGACAGTTAAATTCAAATGAGCAAGACAGTCCAGTTATTGTTGACTTCTACCCAAAATAACCCATGTGCTTAAATAAGAAAGTGACACAGGGCAAAGAAAGAATTAATCATTTAAACATTTGTTTTAAAAATAAAGGACTAATCATACATAATATAAAATAACATATAAAGAAAGAGAAAAATAAAAATTATAATTGAAACGAATTATGAGAAGATTTTCAAATCCAGGTACGGTGTCAAATGATGACACCTGTCACCTCGCCCCTTTCTCCAGTAGAAAAAAAAAATCGTACCACAAATGTAGCACATAATTTTAATGCAAGAACATCCTAACTCTGGTGACCCAAAGAGTGATCTTACAATCCGTTTAGATATTTGAAAAAAGGAAGAAATCATAATCTCCTAAAACATGTTGACAACCTACAATTGGAGATTGCAAAACACTCGGTCAAGAGTACTACGGGTACGAGCCTAGCTAGCTATACACGTAACAATAAGCATGTAAGCCATTCATGCAAAGCCGAAAACGTGGAGGAGATCGAGAGAGTGCAAACCAGTTTGAACCAGCTGTCCGATGCTGGCTCATGGAACGATGACGAACAGAATAACACACGTGGACTTTGGAGTTAAAGGACCTTCGTCCCATACGTACATGACATATTATGTGGATATATGTTTTAACCATTAAATACACAATGGATAAATCAGTTAACTATAAAAATTGGAATCATCGAAAAGTTGATGAACTACAGTACTAGAAATGCTAGTTACAGGTGCAGTTTCTGTGACCTAGAATGTGCTACATAAATTTAAAAAATTGTCTTTGTGATTTAGATTCGTAGGCTACGTACATGTATTCATGTAACGCATATTTTGGAATCTTGATGGGAGAAATAAACTTGTTTACTCTTTATCTCGAGCTAAAAACAAAAATATATGGGTCAAATACGCTTATCAGATAAACCATGTACATGTGTAAGAACTGTACAACATGTGACAATCACCTTCCCAGGGTCCTCCCCATTTGTCAATGCATATTTAATGTGACCCAAGAAAGCAGCCAATGGGAGCTCCCATTCGCTGACCGCTCATTGGTGGAAGCCGCGACACAATTTGCATTGCCTCATTACTATTACAGGCGCATGCTCAGATGCGACAGCTGGGCTGATTGTATGCTAATGAAGGCAATTCTGTTCTCACGGGGGTGGAGCTTGGATCAAAGGGGGTTTTCAATAACCCGTTTATTCTTGGATTTGAATGGGGAGTCAGTGACCGTTAAAGGCACACACTAGGCATTTAAAACTTCTTGCAGTGTTTTGTGTGTAAAAAAAACGTGTGTGTACATGTCAAGCATACATTCTGGCCATATACAAACAATAACCTACGAAGGGCTTGTAGTAAACAACTTTTCGTACAAAGAAGAGATGTTATGTTTTGAGATTTAGGACAAGTGTGTGCAGGTAGCGGCCATGCAGGCCTGCACAAGTACAATTTGTAAATTACAACATACATCGTACCAAGTATGCAATGCATTGGGAAACCCCTCTTGAGCAATGTCATGAAATTTGTAACCACTAGACCCTAGTCTAGTTTTCTAGAAATATCTTTGCAAAGATGTTGAAGTATTGCACATCAAATTTGTTTTGTTCTCAATGCTGGATAGCTATAGGAATAATAGACATGTTGTGAAACTAAAAATAATATTGCCCTTGATACATTTATTTTTTTGGCAATGAAAATTGAAATACCTAGTGCCTGACTGCCTTCGATGGACAATGCTCATAATTTTCTTTTATTACTTTTTAAATAGACAACATGCACTCTTCATCTTTCCATTTTTAATGGAAGACACTCGCCCTCACAAAATACACGAGCCTATCATCCTATTTTGCTAATTATGGGCTTACCATCTTGTAGCAGCTGGATTTTTGATCACAAGATAATTCAATGTCTTCTTCAATATTTGAACACGAACATGTTCCTAGACTACTCTTCTTATGGTCTTTAGCCACCACATTATAGTTTAACTTTTAAAGAAAATATCTTCCAATTGATTCAAAGGAATTATCCTACTTTATCATCCAGGACAGCATATTTAGTTGTTTACTAGATAGACCTACTGCCAGCTTAACCTTCCCTTAACCTCACATAATATTGCAGGCAATTAACCTTGCAAGGTAGTATTCAATTAATGGTATTGATTTCAAATTCATAACTCTCACAGGATGCCAGGGCCATAAACAAGCTAAACAATTACAACTGAGAAACTAGTGCTTCAGTTCAGCCTTCAGGTGATAAGGTCAACAATATTACTAGTAGTACATGTCTTTTGCCTACCCTATTTTTTTTTTCTTTTGAAGTAAAAGTCTAAATGAGAAGCTCAAAAAGCTCCATAATGATAAATTATCAAAATATTTTAGTTCAAGTCCTTGTATATGCCAGGTCATCTACTTTAATAGTAGGCCTACTTATAATATTAAACTGAATCCATGAAACATACTCATGAATAAATTGCAATTCACATGAATAACATGATTGCAACCCCTTACAAAAGATGTGGGTTTCATTTCATGCATGTATACACACATAATACAATCAAGAATTGATGCAACAACAAAATAATTAAAGAAATAAATCATTAGAAAATAAATTTAACAAATTGTACTGTATGCCTTTTGACAGATCCCCCAAATACAATGTAGGCATGTGGGCAACAATGTAGGTCACTATCTCATTGTTTATGAACAATAAGGACTTTGTACCTAAACAAAGGTATTTGTAGCCCATGTCGAATTACAGACACAAAATTATCAGCATAACTGTATTGACATTATTGTAATCCAACCATTGGTTTACATCTTAATGAGGTGTAATGTGATCAAAGTAACTGATAAGGATGACAGGGAAATGTGCCTGTTTTGCTAACGTGAGAAAGTTTGGAAAATTTATTGACAAACATGATCTAGATCGCTAGACAACTTCAAAGTTCATTGGATGTACATGTATGTAGTAGTAACCCACTGCATTAAGGATACCAATGAAAACAAATTATGCATATATTTTCTAGTCTACATCATCATTACAAGATGAATTTCTTTGAAATTTCAAATCTTGTTCAACAAATTAAACTAAGAATGAGATTTTTCTGATGAAACCATAGATAGAGGATCCAGATATACGATTACGAGTATGAATACACTTAACAGATGGTTTCCTTTACTTGTGACTTGTCTTTTTAAAAATTATTTTAGGATTTATTTCTTCCAGTTCCAAAATCAATTGTCGATGAGCTACACTGACACATTGACATGACAGTAGATCTACTGGACTTTAACGGCTTACAAATAGAGTCTAGGCCTACAAGTAACATGTCTACAGACAGTGGCATAGTTCTACACTTGCAATTGTAGGTCTATTTCACTATTATTTGTATGATTATACAAATTTTGTCAATGCCATCAGGAGTTGGGATTGGATCCAATCTAAACTCCCTGGTTTTAACAACAGAACATGTTGAACAAAGAATTTGCAAGTGAAAATGCGATTGGATGGATATGACATGGGCAAATCTGAATCCGACTAACGAGTCAGATGGGTAAAATATATTTACTAAAAACATTAAACATCATATTACAAAGGAAATGATCAATGGTTGTACAGCTAAAACACGATCAAAAAGAATTTGGTATCTGTAACAGAACCGACAAGATGTGTTACACTGCAGTCCCACCTGAAGTTGAACAAGTTAGTGCGAGACTGCGAGTACGAAAATGAATTCACTCAAAAAGGAACAAAATTTGACAAGATGTTCAGATTAAGTACATCTTTAATATGACCTGCAATTTATTTAAAAAATACATGAATACTTAAACAGTGTTTGAATGAAGATATAAGAGTTCTCATCTTACCTGAGCATAATGAAAAAGCTGAGAAAATACAGCAAGAAAGACTGTTGGTAAAAATTGAATATGTACACCCATCCTGCTAGTGCTTCCAGAAAACAGCTGATTGCAGTGGCTCGCCATTTCCTCACACTGCCTCGCTATTGCTAGCTGGCTTGCAACAGCTGATTGCTAGCTGGGGTAACCAGCTAAATCCAACTCGAGCTCGCTCAATGGCTGCGAAACGTGACCTGCATTGCTTCCTCATTCGGCAATCGGGTTTCCACTTTTCAAAATCTTCGTTTCGTATTATAAAAAATGGCTTATATTCTAAATATGATGTTTTAATTATTATTCTAACATAATGTGGACTGGATGGATAAAATGTGAGCCTTAAACTACCACATTTATTATTGAAGATGCTATATGCACAGATATCTTATAAATAACCCCCTATTTCAAATGAACTCGCCCAAATCATCCCACCGCATTGTACTCGTTGTTCAACGTGGTTGCCTGGCCTGCGGTTTTTAAATCTTGAATAATTAATAAGCCGAGCCCCCGTTATGCAAATTTCCAACCTTGTTGCGAGGGCAGCCTAGCTCGCTCGTACATGTAGCATGCACAATCCAGTGACGTGACTTGACTTGTCAGAAATCGAATTTCGTAAACAACTTTTGCGCATGCGTTAGAGGTTCGTGCGGTAAACTTTTTTTTTTTATACGCCTTCTCGTCGATCATGCATATGCTCGCTTTAAAGGGCCACAAGAAATTGATTTGCAAAGGAATATAATGTTCGTGATTATTTTATACCTGCGTGCACTAAACAATATGATAGATTGTAGTCAATTGAGAGGATTTACCTGAAGCAGACTAAATTCATTGATCATTTGCATTCATCAGATGTCCACCCGCCATCGACACTCTTGAAAATGAGCTAATATCATCATACTATCACGTAGGCCTACATACTTATTTATGAAATACTGAAAAACAAAAATCTGCAATAATTCACATTAAAAATATAGCCCTACATTTGACCAGGGAAGTGAGGCTATCTTGTGCACCTCCCTGATTTGACCAAAGCATGTAACTCCTTGATTTGACCATACGGTACTCGGTATATTATATATAGGGCCCATGATTTGACCTGATTTTTGTGATTGTATTGCTGTATTTGAATATTAATAAAGAAATAATTGATTGGAAAAATTTAATAAGAACAAATACATTTTCACACTTGACAATTAATCCGCCGATTCCACTACCCCCCCCCCCCCCCCCCCCCCCCCCCCCCCCCCATGGATCCCCACTTCCCCGTCGGCAGAGACTGCCTTAGCAAGTCACGGAGTCAATATTTGTTATCTCCAGAATAATGATTATTGTACTGTCATGAAATTTTGATTTTCAAGCCAAAAGGCAAAAGAAATTCGGTATTATTTAATTTAGATGCACTTTTGAATGATAAAACTCAGACAGGGAAAACTAAATCTGCACTGAGCCCTCTATGTTGACTGTGAGGATAGTCTAGTCTATCGACATCACTCATAAGTCCAATCTCACACTAAACAGTCTAAACAGACTACCCTCGGAAGAGGTTTCATAACACATTGCAGCCTATAATTAAACACTACAAATCGCAGCCTATAGTTGCAATTGCGCAATGTTTGTCCTACTCCTACCTATAACAAAAATAATTGTCGCTGTTTTCACGAAGTGACGGTATAGTGAAAAAAATTACATTCACTTTGCGTTACGATTTTCCTCACTACCGTCACTTCGTGTAAACAAGGACGATTTTATTGGAATACAATTATCCATGCTGACAGGTGAATGAAATAATTTGTAACATGGCAATTTATCAAAAATTATGCATTAGATTAATTACGAAAATGGTCTTTTGAGCCTCAAGTAAGATTTTCAGAATATCACGTCTGGATGGAAAAAAACAAAAATCTAAAGATACCCAGTATTCTTTGGACCCGGCTCTCTGCCGGCTCTGTATAGTTGTAAATAAAATATAGATTTGAGAATAATTATAACAATAACAATGTTGTTGTTGTTGATGATGATGATAGTGATGATGATGTCATGATGTTCCAAATGATAACTATGATGTCGATGATAACAAAATAAAACAATATAATATCACTAATAATTTTAAAAGGTATAATGCTAGTAGTAGTAATGATGATTATAAGACAGTATTATGATAATGATGAATATAATTTTCGCTACAAGATGCTTTTATTTGGGTTACTGTTTGATTTTATATGGGAATCCGCTGTACACGATGCGAAATAATAGAATAACGAATTAAAAAACAAAGTTTATGTTCTAGCTCAGAAGCGGCAATAAGCGCGGCGGGGGGGGGGGGGGGGGGGGTAGTGAGCACTTACACTATTGTTTTGTTTTGCTCGATAGGAGGGGGGGGGGGGGTGGTGGTAGTGCGCACTGTTTTTGTTTACTCTTCATCATTTTTTTTTTGGTGAAAAAATTTAGCGAGTTGATGATATCGCTCTTCACGTGAAAACTACATTTTCTGCTCGTTTTTCACCTCGAATAAAAAAATTATAATGTTCACAATCATTGAACTATACGACCTAGGGGGTGGCATATTGTCGTGAGCTACTGAACATTGAATACAACTTTGTCATCAAACAATGTAGGCCTATAGGCCTATACAGGCGGCGGAGGGCAATTAAAATGCAAATGTGGTTTATTTATAAATCGATTCCAATGATTTAACAATGTTACTAAAATAACATGATTTTCCGGTGTTTTTTTAAACTTATTTAGGTCTAGATCAAACGGGAGGGGAGGGGCCGTTCCCGTAGACGATCCCCATAATAAAGTAATATGTCAATACGCACCACTTTATGAAAGGGTACCTTTTTTACTTCTTCATCACGGAATATGAATAAGGGTCAATTTTACCTTGAACCTGGGAGGCTGGGGCAAATAGACCATGGATCTAGATCTTTTTTCTTAGTATCCTCCCCAAATATTCTTAAAATAATTATGCATATTAAAATATATGTTTTTAAAATAAATTGTGGTGCCATGGCATGCTCTTCGCCATTTATTTGCATGCCACCACAATTTGATCAAACAAGTTTAAGAAGCTAAAGGCATCAATATTCTTAATGGAACGCCCAATCCCCCAAAACGACAACAAACAACTTGGATTGACCATAGTATCTAAAAGTTACCGCTCACTGCAATTATATTTTTGTTGAAGATAAAATATCTATTCTTATCTTTATTGTCTAATCTCATTATAAATATAAAGTTTTCTTGACATTCCAAGTTACTAACATTTTCTTCCAAATTGCTAAAAGTTTCAAGAAAATCTCGACTCGTAAATCTTTATATTTATCACAGTTACTAATTATATGGTATTCATCTCCTACTAGATTCATATTGTAGTCTTCACAGAATCGTAGATTAGGGGCGTTTTAGGCTGGTCTTATATATCTTCCCATTTATGGCGGGTAAGTTGTGTGCGCTCAGTCGTATAGTTTGGTGATATTTTTCTTAAATTAAGATTTGGTTTATGAGATAAATAAGTTTTTTTGCTTGGTTGTATTTTTAAATTGTCTGAAGGTTCTGAGTTTAGAGGATAGGCCTATATATTTTTTTGGTCCCGAAAAAAATAAATCGCAACGACTCAGCTAGCCGCTGAATAAGCGGAGGGGGGGGGGGGGGGGGGGGGGGGGTAAGAGCACATTTTTTGTTTGGTTTTGTTTTGGCCGGGGGGCACGTGGCCCCCCCCCCCTGGATCCTGCCACATTTCTGATCCAGGCATAAAATAAAATAGGTTGTATTTTTGCTTCAACATTTTTTTTCTTATGACAAATAAGGGACAAGTCGCACATTACACAGTACACGCGCGCATGCCAACGAACTCAAACCAAGGGTTCGATGGCGCATGCGCAAGTACTAGATCATATACTACGAAAACTACTAATATTGGGTTAATATCGAGGAGCGAAATCGAAATGTCTTCACGCTACGGGAGTCGACCGCCTAACACATCACTTTATGTCCGAAATTTACCGGATGATGTCAGGTAAGGCGAAGGTGAAAGTAATGTAACATATGTATGTTTGTTGGTGAACTATGAATTGAGTTGAATTATCATTTGAGAGGTGCATAACTCTTGTTTGAAGTTAAATCATGTCTCCGCGGACAAAGCCTGCACTTTTACCGCCATGTCGTCCATGTACATGATGTACGTGCGTAACCGCAGCCCAGTGCTAAAGGCGTGCATTGCAAAGTTGCACATCATGTGCTTGTGTGTGTGTGTGTGTGTGGCCTAGGTGCATGTGCGCTGCTGCTCCAAATGGTTAACATTTGGATCTAACTAGCCTCAAGGGCAAGGTGATTATTAGGCCGAAATCTTCAATCTCTGATTTATAGACAATAGGGGTGCTAGTCCAAGAATAAGGATCGTTTTCGTATTAAACCGCTGACACTAAGTCACTAGAAACAGATGGAAAAAATACAGAACATTCACACTTTTGCAGACGTTTCCGATCCGCGCGTGGTATGCAAAAAACAGATTCTGTGATGATTTTCTTGATGCATTTTACATTAACGTTGTACAGAGACTTTCATGTTGGTATGAGCGATAGAACCTCTCGAAAACAGACAGTGTGAACTGGGTTTTTTTTCTGACGTGGAATTCGTTTTTCACATTGCCAGCCCCGGGAACCCATAACCTGCAGAGCGCCGATGAAAAAAAACATCTGTGAAAATGCAGACGATCCTTATTTTATAGAACGCAAAGTGTCCGCTTTAACAAGGATATTAATATATCCTCGTTCTCGGAGTAGCGCCGCTACTGATAGTTATTAGAGGGTTTTTCCGCTGAGATTAAATCTGGCCTCTGGGGCCTTTTCTCGAAACCGTCATAATATGAGGGTGTCTATGTAGAAACCTGATGTAGACTAGATCTAAGCTTAATTTATAAACTATACTATACACAGCAAGGCTAGCATCTGATTTGAGACTTTAGGAGAGTACTGGCGTTTAATATGTTCACCAGTTTTATTCAACAGTAAATGAAAATTTGTAAAAATTGCCTTTCCAGTATTGTTCTCACTTCAGCTACTCTGCATGTTTTTGTTTTTTTAATTTCATGCTTTTATATGCTCATTCTTCTTTGGGATATGACGGATATCTGTCTTTTGTATTCATCGTGGGTCTTTATCTTGCTATTTTTTTTACCTTGCTATTATTTATCACTATAGCCGGGCGGAAGACATGAGGAACTTGTTCGGCAAGTATGGCCCTATTAGTGACATCTACATACCTTTGGACTACTATACCAGGGAACCCAGGGGCTTTGCATATGTCCAATATCCTTATTCAGTCGCCTTGCAGTGATCTTCCTTCTACTATGCCTGTATGAGCATTTAGTGCGGAGTCAGTCAATGTAATAACAGATTCTGGTCAAGGATATGAAATATCTGGGGAATAGAATATATTTGTTGCTCACATATATATCTGCATGTCTATCAAAAGTTTGCTTTTAAAAATGGCATAATCAATTATCAACTATTAGATGTGATCTGTCATCTGTGACCTAAATTTCTGATTACTTTGCCTTCAAAACATTCCCATAGGCTTTGACCAGACTTTCTCTTACTCTGACTTTCATCCAATACCATTCATTATCTTCGATATTTTACACATGTTCATAAGTTTTCTTGGTTTATTTTATATCTTTTTTAGAAATAAATTTATTAGTTTGATACTTTGAAATCTTTCATGTTTCCAAAGGGGAAAATGAAATAAAGGTATAACTCATTTGGAGATTGCAGAATAAAGAATATTTACACCAGTCTTACTATTCCAATTACTTGGGGTCTTTGGTTGATTTGCTTTTGTAACTTCTGAAATATTCCCCATCAAAATCATAATTACTCAAAACTTTACTGTGATTGTTTTGAGACTGGATTGGACAATATTTAAAACCTCTTGAGAAATAAAAAAAATGTCACTTACAATGTATCCAAAATTCCAAATATTACATGTTGTAATGTAATGCACTCTTTAGAGTAGAAACATCATTTTGTCATCTCATCTAATTTGTAGATTCTTGTAAATATTTAACTAACCTCATTATTTAGAATTTAGTAATAATGCATTCATTAAGTTTTACCACTAGTGTTAATGAAAATCGGAAACTCGTAATGGTGTGAATTTGAAAAAACGTTTACACACAAGCTGTAGACTGCATGAACTTGTGACACCTTACTTTCTATCATTTTGAGTGCCATTTTAATTTTTAATTTTGTTGTTTGAGTTTTTTCATAAATTCCATAACATTAATTTTCTGCCTGTACCCATTTTGTTTAACCCCTCATTTCATACTAATATTTTTTTTTATATGAATGCTTCATGTTGAAGTGGTTTGAAGGAAAACAAATTGATGAAATTTATTGAAATTTGTTCATTCTTAATGGCGGACAGGTTAACGATTTTAATCAATTTCATCATCCTTAGGCCTAAAAAAAAAAAATGTTGTATTGCCCTTTGCGACCGACCCAAAAATCTTGAAATCTACGTTCGGCTTTTTTAAAAAGTTATTTTTTTGTTACCGTTCAAAACTGAGAAATATTAGCCCAAAGAGGGAGTAAAAAAAAAGAAAAGATTTCTGACCGACCGACCCATGTTTTGGCACCTAAAGGGCAATACAACATCTTTTTTTTTTAGGCCTTATTTTCTTCAAAAGTTTTGTTATTTATATTTTTGTTAACAGTACCGGTATGTGATTGTGATGCTTTTTTTTTTAAACACATGATTTCTGCTATTTCCTAATGTAGGTAGGTTAACAAGAGTTTTGTGTTTTGTCTTTGCTCTGTGTCACAGTTAGAGCACAAGCCAAGTCTTTTCAAGTTCAAGTTCAAGTTCAAGCACATTCAAGTTCAAGTGTTCAAGTTCAAGTTCTTGGTAGCCATGGCCAAGTCAAGTCAAGCCATGGTTGATTCAAGACAAACCGCTCAACAGCCATGGTGTGATATCACGGTGAACGATGAAAGTTATAATGTAAATTGATAATCCTCTAATTCAATTATACTCTTCTTTTAACAACCAAACTATTTAGAATATAGATTATTTGCCTATTTGGTGATCAGAAGAAATAGCAACAGTGAATGCAGTGAATTATTCCAGACATTTCGGGGGGAAAATGACACCTTGAATGGAACTACATTCGTTTTTAGCTAATTTGATGTAATCTCATGACCTTCCTATTTAATATTTTCTTCTGATTGAACTACTTTTAAAAGTGATGAAAATCCTCATTCTTTTTTTGCTATTCTGATATCCTAGCCCATTGGGGAAGAAAAAAACTTCTTCATTAGATGCATAGTCATATATAGTCAAGGCTTTTATTGATAGAAAGAAAAAACAAACAATGGGAAGCAATTTTGAGGTACCGGTATCAAACACAATTCTGTCCATTACTTCATATGTAGTCATAATTTTCATGATAGGTCAATGAACTGTTTGATAATCTTCCATCTGTTCACCTTTTACATCCATGACAAAAGGGCTCAAGTCAAGCCAACCGTCCAAGCGCTACCAAGTCACATAAAACAACCAAGACTACTTTGGCTATCGATTTATCATGTACCAATGCAAGGCAACACAAGCAAGAAAGCAAGCAAGCAAAACAAGCTTCAGTACAGAGTTTAAAGGGACAAGTCAAGACACCTCAAGACACCAAAAGAAAAGAATTAAAAGATCAAGCATGCCTACAGACAAGAGTCACAAGTTGTTGATTTCACAAGCCTGATGCCCAAGAGAAGCATGGGGGACATCAGCCAATGGGCATGATCCACTTGTCACATGATGTCAAGGTCATCTGCTGATTGGCTGGCTGGCTCGCTCTTGTGATGTTAAACCCATGCATCTCTTTAAATGTCAAGTTTTCAAGTTTCAAGAAGGTAGAGTATCCTATTGGAATAAACAACAACATATTCTAAACTAACACTCGCAATCTATCAACTATTACTTTTTTTACATGTTGTGTACTATTTCACATATTTATAACTAGTCACTTTTTGAAAAGAATACATTTTTTAGTACCATTTCTAACTTGAAAGAATGTGCAATAATGGTAAGTGTTGCAGCAAAATTGATTCATGGTGATCTTTTCCAATCAAAAATATATGAGCAGAACACTTCCAAAGTTATTTCATTTGAATTCTTTTAATTAAGATTTGACAGGAGTTCATGAAAGAATGAAATGGTTATTTTTTACCATTGCCTGTTGGAAATAACTATTTTCATATGCACGTATTTGCATATGACCCTGCTTTGGGTAGAATAAAACATCTTTGGTCTTGTCCAGGATTATAAGTTTCTTGCCATTTTATCAGCTAATGATATTAAAGAAAGTAAGAAACCGATATAAATGTATAGTTCAGGGCCGGTATTCAATTCAATACTTGACTAAGTAAATGGCTAAACTAAGAAGTTTACTTATCTCGTATTCAAATCGTATTTTAGACTTTTACTTACCTGAGATAAATAAAATACTTAATGATAAGCATTGTGACATCACACTGTCAATCAAACGTAATGCACAATTAACGCGTCGCAATAATTGTGCGCAGGTTATAATACTGCGTAAGAAAACCATATGCCTGCCACTGCCAATCAAGTCCTCCAAATAATTGGCTTAAGTCTGGTAAGGAGCTGTCTTAACTTAAGGGTAAAATACCTAGACAAAAGTTTGGATTGAATACCCAAATTGGCTAAGTATTTTATCAAAGCCAAATACTAAGTAAAAAGCTTAAATTGTGTACTTAAGTATTGAGTTGAATACAGGCCCTGGAGCATAATTTCAAATTCTAAGACATGTCAAGAGTCCTGAATCAAATGTGGAGGACAGGAATTTAATTTGTAATTCTCTTTTCCCTAGAAAGTTATGTGTTGTTTGCATGTTAGTCTTTGTAGAGGAATCAATGTACAGCAGAGCTCTTTCTATAAACGCAAGTAGTTTTATTTTTTCGCCGTGTTTTGAGTGAAATAAAAAAGTTCCTTGACTAGATTAGCTTTCCACGTTTGACGACATCCGAGATGCTGAAGATGCGATGTACGCCCTGGACAGGTACCGCTTCTACGGCCGGGAGCTGGAGATACAGTATGCTGAAGGAGACAGGAAGAGTAAGATGATTTACTTATCTTTAGGGATATCACCTTAGTATTTAATCCCAATGCCTTCTGAAAAAAAGCCTCCTGATCTCTGTTTGTTTTCAATGCTTTGGAAGCTTCAGCCCTCCTACGGCCATCTCTTGGAACCTTGACCATACCTGGGGATGTTTCACAAAGATCCCAAGTCAAACTTAACTTTAAGTTGGACTTAAACATTAAGGAGAGCCATATGTAGCCTTAAATAATATAAATTCAAAAGCAAAAATTCAAGTATTTTAGAATTTGTATTAATTCCACTTCAAGAACATGAAATTTCCTTGATGATGGAAAATATGAATGATTTGAATCAACATTTTATGCCTTTTAAAATAACATTTACAAAAGATTTTCAAATAATAATAAATAAATAAACGACTTTCCATAATTTTTAAGTCCAACTTAGAGTTAAGTTCAACTTCGGATCTTTGTGAAACACCCCCTGATCATTCTAGGCTCTAGAGTGGTCATTTGCTTGTTAGTATTACCAGTTACCAGTGTAGGGTTAGGAGAAGGAGGAGGGGGGGGGGGGGGGGGATTAGGTTTATTATAGATGGGGAGAGATGACGAGTTTAAGAGATTGTTGCAACTCATGCAAGTTACAGGGGAATTATCAGGCGTAAAAGCAGATAATACACAATGACCATGCACTCCATACTACTGTACTAATCTCTGATGGAAAATAACTTCCTAGATGTTCTCAATGATTTCAGTTACATCAACTTCCAGTTTCCTACTAGTACTGCTTATTCATGGCAGACTCTATCTAATACTGCTCGGAATGGATATTTCCTTCCATATTTGGAATAATCATGTCTTTGTTCACCTATACATGCTTTAATGTGCAATTGTCCATCTTTCTTCCCTTTCTGTGGCTGTATTCTTTTCCACCACTCGCAGCTCCCACACAGATGAGAGGAAAGGAGCGTGGCGGCTATCGCCCATCGAGGCACCGATCGCGCAGCCGAAGTCCAAGACGCCGCCGTTCTCGTAGCCGCAGCCCTCGTCGACGACGTTCGCGGAGCGGCAGCCCCCGAAGACGACGCTCTCCCAGTTACAGTCCAAAGAGGAGGAGTAGGAGGAGCAGGAGCAAGGACAGGTGAGAAAAAATAACAACCAGTCAACTATGTTCACTATATTTCTTGTGTAATTTCATACTACTACAAAACCAGAAACTTTTGCGTGCATGGAATATTCACAAACTTTTAAGAAGTTTAGAATCCTGAAAGTTCAAATAATTAAATTATAAAAGGGATGGCAACACTGAATTTTACAGGTAAAAGTACAGCCTTTTCACACACAGCTAAAATTCATCGTATTCATCATATAGTTTATGATGGAGGTAATGAATGACTTTAAGAACCACTTGCCTAATGTGTATTACTATTTTAGTCTGTGCTTTACCAAATGTCCTTGGCTCCTTGATTGTAGGAAACGCAGAAAGTCGTATTCGAGGTCAGTGTCACGCTCTCGGTCCAGGTCAGCTGACAGAATGCGAACACGAAGCAGGTTAGTATCCCCCTTGAACTCTTAAAAGTCAGTTGAGAATCTGCACCTCTTACTTGCTTGTTAACTCCATACAAAAGAATGTTAAGTTATCCATTTGTTAGGAAGTACACCAGAATGAGCCAAAAATGTACATTCCAAAGTATATTGAGTTCATATCTATGCCCTCGTTGTGGTATCAACTTAATGCAGGCATGTGGTACAGTCCACTGCTCCACACTCGATATTCGTTTGTTAGGGGGTCTGGACTGAAGTCTGTGGGCCTATATACATGTACATTGAGCCCTATGAAGAAACACTGAAATTGTTGGAGCCTAGGTCCCGTTGCATAAAACTTACCACTGACTTTGCCATCAATATTAACTACCACGGCAACATAATTCAACAGCCAATCAAATTACGGTTGCCTTTAATTGCAAAGTTACCATCAATACTAAGTTATAGGCGACAGGCCCTGGACCTAGATGTTGGGCGCCCAATCTCCCAGGGTGTTAGTGTTGAGCCCTAAGTACACTATCGTCTTTGATTTGTTACATATGAGACATTATCTTTGAATTGAGTCATCATGGAATGTTTGGGGCATTGTGAATGTCAGAGGGGTTATTTGCAAATTTTTTCCCATCCGTGTCGTATCCTGTCATTGAATATTTCCCAGCTTTCTCTGTTAATTGATTTAGGAGTAATTGTTACTCTTTCATTGATTTTCCCCCTAGTAGCCAGTTGAATGATGCACCCTCTAGTACATCTAGTTAATATTTTTCTCTTTTCTCTGTTTTAGGACGTTCAGTCGATCTCCAACAGGCTCCAAGAGTAGATCAAGATCACGGGACAAGTAGCAGCCTTGAAGGACCTTGGCACATGTCCATATTTGTACACGTTTGGCGCCATCTAGAAATGAACCGAAGGATTTCTCCTACACCTTTTTGTCATTCTATTTTATAGGAATCCAAGTGGTTTGTATTCAAGATATGAAGAGATGCACTGTACAGTTGTAGAAAATGACATCCCTGTTGACAATGTATCATATGAAGAAAAATGTTTTTAAATGAAAAAATAGTGATACTTGAAAATGTAGGCATTGTTATTTAACATTCTGGGCTCTTTGTTAACTTCCGGGGAAATAAAGAATATTGTTATGAACACGGTGTTGTGCTATACATTCAATAACAGAAGAATTGGTAAAAAGTTGGAGTTTTAGAAAATTTTAAGGCCCTTTTGGCCTCTGACGCCTGCTTGTATTGCACCCCTCATGATGCATCAGTTTGTGTGAACATCTAAAGCTTTGCAATACTATTCATGTAGTGTGTTGTAACTCGAGGAGGGGGTAAAGAATAGATTTCCTAAATTTGTCCAACTGAGTGGTATCTCAAAAAGCACAAAACATGCACCCTATCAAAGGGGTGCTATGGAGTTCCTGTGTTTGAAGAAAGAAAAAAAAGCACATGTTTAATGATAGTTTTCTGTCTATTGATAGGCCTAAGATATTTCAGCTTACAGCAGATTCATTTACAGCAGATTCATTTCATTATTAATATTAGACTGATTTGATTGTTTGGAAAGATATCTCTGAATTTCTTCTTCTACATGTACATGTATATGATTAAGAGACAAATTTGACCTTATCCAGAAGAAAAACAAAACAACTTCAACCAAACCCAGGCCACTATTTACCAATGCTGTGTATTACCTTATACTTGATACAAAACAAATCAGTTGTACATAGATCTGCAACTGAAAAGGAGCAATTACTATGTCTACTTTTAACATTGCTCTATGCCATTGAATGATATGTGTATTGTATGTTTTTGTGTACAAAATGCAAACCGATTATCAGTATTTTCCTCTTTTTTTGTTTCCAACTATGGCTGATTGCATGTACATAGTAAGCAAGATGCATTTCTCATTTCAAAACTTAAGATTTTTTTGTCTGCATTAGCAAGGTCCATGTCGAGATGTAAATGTACCAGACATTTTTGTTGATAGAAGTTGCAAGAGCCGAGTAGATTTACTAAATCCTACGACTGTTTGTTAATGCAAAAGAGGGTTGAATAGTTTCCAAATTTCAGTCTTTTTGCTGACAAAATCATGCATCTGGTTTTTGGAATAGAGCTCCATAACATCTTTCACACCTGTTTTGCTTGATATTAATACCCCATTCATGTGGATGTGCTCTGAAGCTTTTGATTCAATGTTGATGTCATCTTCTTTTATGAGTGCATTCTAAATAACATTTAGCTCGGAATATTCAAAAGACTATTGATATTCGACTATTTTCAAGAAGAGACAAAAAAGTGATGTGACATTTGCTCCTGAAAATGCATGATAGCAGAATATTTTATTTTTCATTTTTCAAATGTAACTTGGCTATCTGTATGGAGGCATGGAGAATACATATTGATTTTCTGTTTTTATTTTATTCAGTTCTTTAGAGATATATTCTAGACATGAGTATATAATTAAGCAGACCCTTCCAGTCGTGTTCAAAGTTGCCAGCATTATGTTATTGCTGTTGTAAATATTTGAAGATTTCTGCACAATGTTCGATCGTCTACCAAAAGTCCTTGTCAGCCATGTTTTATTGTTCCGTAAGAAGTAGCATTTGTTCAGTATTACCTGCTAACAACATACATGTACATGTATCTAGGATAGTGCTATGCAAGTTGATCAGTCTGTTGTGTATGTATGTACTATGTGACGAGTTCCTCAGAACTTTGAGATTGCTATTAAATGAAAAAGAGTAGGATTGTCGAGTGGTTCAATCACTCGACTGGAAATTTAAAGTTTGTGGGTTCGTACCTGACCTAGCACTTGTGTCCTTGAGCAAAGCATTTTGATACCAGGCAGTGTGAGAAATGTCATTGTGGTTGGATTAGCTTGTGCATGCTTGTAAAAAGGTGAAATGCTCTCCAAAGGAGTTGAGAGTCTGCACTCTCAAGTGCAGGGTCGTAATTTGAATCCATTGATTGGGCTAATGTTTATGCTATGTTAGTTGACTGGATTTAAACCGCTTTTGTAAGTCATTATTATTAAGTTTAATATGCATAAAGACTCCCATTTTTTCACTGACATGTATTATCCCCTTTTCCTTCTCTTTCGTAGAGTCCAATTGAAGAATACACATTAATTTTGTTTTAATAATTTACCAAATTGATAACTGTCGATTGTATAATACCATATTCGTAGATTGTTTTAATTTTTTTTTTTTTTTTGGGGGGGGGGGGGGGAGGTTAAATTAGACTTATCAGTCTCATGAAATTTAAAAAAAAGTGCCCCAAAGTATTTCCCATTTCACCATCTTAAAATGGTTGTACCTTTAAGTTGTTTGTCTTCAGCAATGTGTTGTGTTAATTTATTTGTTTTTATACATTTCAGGAAAAAAGAAATGACAAGTACAATCACTTAGTTTATAAATGTTCATCGCAAACCCAGTTTTGTTTGGAATTGTTTAAATCTCTCACAGAAGTTTAGACAGTTTTATTTAAAAATATTTTTAGGGTACTCCATTGCTGTTTTCTGTCATGAGCTCCTGTCAATAAAGATATCTTTGTTTAGAATAATAATTCATGTTTAAGAGTTTTTATTGTGGGATTTGGACAAAATTCATCATTACCTCACCACCAACACTTTAATAACATTGAAAAAGCAGTGTAGATTTCATATTTGAGAAAGTAGACTCTTTAAAATACTTGAATTGAATAATCTTTTGCCCTCAAATGTTATTGCAAGGCCAGATGATGTTAGACGAAATAAAGATGAAACTTGGTGAATTTGAGTCCATACTGGACCAAAAATGATGTATAAATATTTGTACATCAATCATGTACCAGCTATGCGCCATCATCAGGAATGTCGATATGCTCTAAGCCAAACCATATCGTACAACTCTCAGAAAGAGAGGGAGGAGAGGAAGAGATTTAAGCAGAGATGGACAGGAAAGCAAGGGAAATAAGTGGAGAAAGATGAGGGAGGACAAGAGAGAAATTATTACCAGAAAACGCACAACTGACTAAGTGAAATTTTGTGAACATACACATTTTTTTTAATACAAAAGAAAGTACACAGATTATATACAAAATGTACAAGATGAACAAGGAGTACCGGTAGGCAATATTTTGATCGATGAATTCATACATGACATGATTTATCAAGTATTCACTGCTCCTTACAAAGTTAATAAGTCTTCATGAAACATCTACACAGGAGCTCTTGATACCATTCATCTTGCTCCCCAAAGAATTCAGATTTACATTATTCTTGCAGTTTATAATTTATGCTCAAATTCTATGTAAAACAGGATTTATGACATTTCAAAGTAATTAGTTCAGAACTTGATAAAACACAAAATTACCAAAAGAGTACAATGTTGAGATACTGGTCTGGCGTGAAAATGCCTTGTTTTTTAAAGAAAAAATAACTGTTTCTTTAACTGTTTAAATAAGAATAACGTACTGATGTTATTCCTACTACAAATGAAGCTTTACAATACACTAGCCCCATGTTGAAAACGACATAACTTCTATGAGAGGAGAATACTAAGTGACTCAGAATACTAAGTAAACAGTTCCAGGAATAATCCATATGTGCATATGTAACAGGGTGGGGGCCAGCTGTCTCACAGAAAATCAATTTAAATGACTCATTTGTTACAAATGAAAAGTAAAAGCAATATAATTACGAAACCATTGTATTGACAAAGGTGTGTCTCCAGTTTTAAAAGCTGGAAGGGTCAACAAGACAAAACAGTGTAAGAATTCCCCAGGGGGGAGGGGGGGGGGGGGGGGTCACTCTCATACACAAATGCTACCCACCTATGTCCATCAACATCTGAAATGAACCCTAATGTAATGGCGTATCGCACCTTTTCTGAAATGACCCTTTTTAAAGAAAACATCAAAACCTGTGATCCTGAAAAGGTACCCTTTTTGGTGTTTTTGTGCGATCAGTGCTTGAAGAACACCCCTTTGTAAGGAAAACGTAGACGACGAACCTGTGAATCTGAAAAGGTACCCTTTTTTGCGATCAGTGCTTGAAAAACATCAATTTTTAAGGGAAACGTCGTCGCTGCCGTATAGCTGAAAAAGACACCCTTTCGCCGCTTTTTCTGGACGGGAGTGCTTAGCCAGTCATGTTGGGAGTGACCCCCCCTCCCCCCCCCCCCCCCCCCCCCCCCCCCCCCCCCCCCCCCCCCCCCCCCCCCCCCCCTGGGAAGAATTCCGGACAAGAAAACCTGTTTTCATGAGCACTGAGCACAAATGTAATTTAAAGATACTATGTCCCTTTTGCAGCCAAAATCAAATTCTGTAGAACTTTGCAGGAATTATGAATATGTCATGCATGTCCTATCTATGAAATTTAAACGTTAGCAGTGTCCTAGTATAGTATGCAAGGTAACCTGTTTACTTTCTAGACTTCACTGTCAGACACTATTGAGTGACTGACTGGTATCTTTTTTTCTTTGGTAATAACATACATAAAATGAGCTGTTAATAGGTATATGAGCATTTGTTTACATCAATAACCCACTACTTGTAATGGCTATAATTAAACTGATTGAATATTTGTGCAGCACAAAAACGTACCACCATTCTATTACTTAAGTGATTGCAAACACTTATGTAGATTCAACAACTAATGGTCATTATTTTTCAACAAAGGGCATTTTCAAACCCTTTCTGAAATTGGTACGGTAGTCAGTTAAAGGATGCTGATAGAGCATGTTGAGCATCGTACAAGAAACCAAACATCATCAAAAATAATCTCGATTTACACAGCGCATTAAACCAACATCTCTGCATTTTACAGATATTATTACAGATATTCTAGTATGAAGAGTAGTAGTTCTGTCTAGAGAAAGAAGAGAATTCTAGATTTCATCAGCTCTTGTCCGTCTCTTCTTTCCGCTTGTTTCTTGGTGATCGGTAGAGCTACGTCTTGCTTTCAATTCCTCATCCTACAACATTGAAATGACAAGAGATAAAGAATGGATGATAGAAACATTCGGGATGAGTACCAGTAGCTTTTTACAGAATGCAGGATATGAGTACAGGGGAGTGTTTCACAAAGACTAAAATCGACTTTAAATTGGACTTAACTATGGCAGGCTGTTCATGCCACTGTTTGCTCTCACTACTATGATCTTTAGATACTATTTTTTCCTTCAATAATGAATTATCAAATTTTTTAAATTCTGTAGATTTGTGACCATGATTTGTACGTCCCTTGAGAGACAAATGCCTGTAAATTGTGAGAGCAAGCAGTGGCATAAACAGCCTGCCATATTTAAGTCCAACTTAAAGTCAATCTTAGTCTTTGTGAAACACTCCCCAGATTACTTAAAATGGGAGAAAAGAAAAATACAGGAAAAACTTTCCCTGTGAGTAACCATTCATTGGTTCAGCACAAAAAAAAAAAAGCAAAACATTATAATATGTGATTTGATCACTTTATTTTCAATGCAAGGGGACATTCAGAGTTCTATCTCATTTTCATCACTCCCTTTTATCACTCTGTTTATCCCTTTCTTGCGCTCTTTATTTGCTCTCGTTTGGGTAATCTTTTCTTAATCTCTGATTCTCTCTATCTCACTCTCTCTCTTTCTCCCTCTCTCTTTCTCCCTCTCTCTTTCTCTTCTTCTTCTCTTTGGGTCTTTCCTCCACTTCTTTCTTTGTCTATCCCTCTTCATGTCTCTCTCTCTCTCTCTAGCTCTCTATCCATTTATAAATATTCAAGTAGTGATGTCATACTGACCTTTGGTGCACTGACCTCTGACCTACGAGCCATGGTCTCTCTCCCTCTCAGACTCTTAGAGGAGTCTGGTTGCTGTACCATCAGCTGGGTGGAGATGAACTCCTATTGATAATGGAAAAGTAATTCAAATATATTAACTCATTCCTTCATTTACACAACGTTTGTAAATGTTTGTGAAAGTTACTGCGATGGAGGGCATTAAACATATCGATTAGCTACAAGAATGATAAAGCATTATAAGCAAGATATGATAATTCAATAGGTAAACGGAAATACGTTGCACATATTCCAGAGTTGGATAAAATTAAAATTTGAGCACATCTTATCCACATTTCTCATATCCCACACCCAGACCCAATCACGATTAGATTTCCCCTTTGGCAATAACATTAGAACATGATACAGATCCTCCCACAAAGGGATTCAAGTCTGAATGGTCATATGAGTAGTATTCTCGAGATTGCAGGTATTGTGAACTTCCAGTTGTAGATAAAGGCCCTACTGGCTTGAAAGTCAATGAGAACCTATGTGACTGGCACAATTTCACTAGCATTCGCATTCGATCGGGCCTGTTCTTTGAATGGAATGCTGCAATACAATGCCCTAGTCTTCTGACCTTGTAGAACTTAAAGATAAAGTTGAGTTCTGGTCATGCGATTGCATTGTGAACCGTGTAGAAACGATCAGAAAAGGTTGATTATGTAGCATATAAGCATTGGTGTGTACTGCAAGGTTCTGGAATCATTAAAATGATAAGATATTTGGCCCAGTTTTGGTAAAAGTAACAAGCACTATACACAGAAATATGTATCTGGGACTACACGAACATTTGGCATAAGCTGTTACATGTCATATTTATAAGATGAAGGCATTTGAAGAGCCATGCTTTTCAGGGAACACTTTTTCTCTGAAGTTCTTCCACATTTGCATAAAAACAATGAAAACGCTCACAAATCATTTTTCACCTATTCCCAGAACTCAACCTTCTTTTTAATTCAGGAAGAACTCCCATCTTTCAATGTTCACAATCAAAAGGGATTTTCTTCCAAAAACTAGTCAGCTAGTAAGGTTTGCAGTAGTAGTAGTAGTGGTTATTTTACCCGACGGCTAAGAAAGCATAGATACTTGTTTAGTAAGCAACCAGAGGACTGACAGCCTTAGGTCCTCTACAAGGGACCTGGTAATGAGGATTAATGCCTTACCAAAGGGCACTAGTGCATAGACTTGGTTTCGAACCCGGGTCACCGTATTACGAGACCACTGCTCTACTGACTGAGCTATCGTGCCTCCAGTAGCTTTTATCAGCCAACATCCAACCAACCACTCACCTCTATAAAGCTGATCACATCATTCTGCATGCTGACTGCCATATCATGGACGTCATGATCAGAGCTGTTATACATGATAGCATTCTGAAACATGATCAAGATGTACCGATGGAAGGACTCCGTCGTCCTGATGGTTCCGTTCTCTATCTTCTTCTTGATGGTGATGAGGTCCAGCGGCTGGTGAACGATGCTGCAGTAACCTGGGGCGATGTCCTCCGTCACCGGGTGAAGGAAGACACTGGCATATCTACAAAAGAAGTAGAAGAACGTGGTCATGTATGATCAGGCAAGGGGGGTATTCTTGAAAGCTCAATGGGTGGTATTCTCATAAGTTAAGCCGGGACTAAGTCCAGACTAAACAAGAATTTTAGTTCACACTTCTATGGAATGCTAGGTGTCATCTTCCTCCTTCAATATTCATGACAAAAATAATCTACCAAAGACTTTGTTGAAATTCAGTTCATTTTCATATTATCTTTTTTTCCATTTCATTGCAAAATTAATTTGTTGGACACTTTTAATTGCAGAATTAAAATAATCTGTACAGGGTAAATGAGTTGGCAAGAGATACTCCATAAAAGTGTGGACTTTTATGGAGTATAATACCACCCTATAACTTCAGTCCACGGTTTAATCCTCCGACTAAGTATGGAATGCCAAGTATTCATAAGAATATGTTTCTGAATTATTTATATTTTAAACTAAATAAAAATAAAATGTATTCACGAAACAAATATTTTGATGTGAAAATTAATGTACGGCAAATATTTCTACTTTAACAGTATCTCTTTACAAAGAGTGAGAATTGTGACTTACTTGTGGCTTGCAGCAGCTCTCCATACCAGCATAATGGCCTTTCTCCATACTCTATACGCATGGTCCTCCTCACTGTGATGTGGTATAAGAAAAAAATGAAAACTTAATATATTCTTGAGGAAAATTAATGTTCATAACAACCTGTTTGGATTATAACCACACACAAAATGAGCATATCAGAGAAAAAATATACAAATGTAATTACACTGAATATAACTTGGATATACTGAGTAGTGCATGACAGATTATGTTCCTTTGAAAGGGGGACTTTACAAAATTTCAAGCACACAACAAATAGGACGGTGTAGAACTATCAAATACCCTTCCAAGGCTCTGCAAGGTTGATTCCTACCTATATTTCACTGGGTACTAATGTATGTTAGGAGAGTAAATTGCCTTTTTTTTCTCCTTGAATGTACACATGTTTCAACTGTTCAAAACATTTTCTGGTAAATTGATAGAGAAATGATTTCCCTGCAAATCAATCTGTGATTCATGCTATTTCCAAGGACCAGTAAGGCCCTAATTCACAAAGAAGGTTTAAATGTGCCACATTTTAAACCCTCATTTACATAACCCATGGTTTAAAATAAGCGTACCTTGCCTTGTGCACGTCTAGTATTGGACCTCTGACTGTGTCATGCTTATTTTGGGCTAATTTTAAATCACAGGTTATGTTGAGGAAGATTTAAACAATGGGTTAAATTTAAACCTCTTTTGTGAATTCGTGCCTAAGGGTTTGTTAGTATCTTTAGATTTGAATCAAAACTTTACGCAGCTTCAGATAAAATAGCAATTTATATACTTTCAATCATGGGTTTCACTTCGCTTACACAAACTAGCACATACCTATGTGGCACAGATGAAGGACTGTTTGGCAATGAATCACAATAGAGCGAAGATTGCAAATTGGCAACCGAAGCATCATCGCTCTCTGATGGTCTATCGTGATCTTCAGAATCAGCAGCGTCGCTCCTAGTCTCGTCTTTAAGATCATCAAAACTCATGACAGTGTCGTCATCATCATCATCCTGAGGAAACAGAGACATAAAGGTTCGTTGAGTTCAGGTCAAAGGTCAATGATTGGTGGCAAACATTCTTTATAATTTGGTTTTTATGACAACTTCTCATTTGGAGCATGTTTTGTTTGGAAAGCCTAACAATGAATCAAATCTGTATTGAAAATCCTTCATCACTACTTATACATGCAGATTGTTGGATGTCATATCAAACACAACAATTGCATGCTGTTGCTCAACAAACATTTTCAAATGACCACTGATAGATTCAAACTAACATTTATTTAATAAACATTAAGTGTCTTCATCAAGTTTTATTCCCATACTTTTCAATTGCCAGAGCTGAACTTGACCTTTTATAAAGGTATTCTTCAAAATGGCATGTAGATGAAAGAGGCAAGTTATCTTAACATTGCACATTATCCATTCGCTCCAGAAGGATGACATTCTCACAGCATCAAACCAAATGATTTTGTGATTGTTTTGGTACAAATATTTTAGACTCTTATGTGTTTTTTTTCTTTTCATAAGACAGTATGAAATGTATACTGAACCCCAATGTTTGAACCTGTAAAGACTGACCGGTTTACTCCTCATCCTAGAGCTCTTCCTAGAGGCGTTGCTAGGCCGACCCCTCCCTCTCTTCTTCTCCGTCTTGCTCAGGGCTCCTGGAGACACAGGCTCCATGTCTATGGGTTCATGGTGGGAACGAAGGAGCTTGCCACCTCCCGACTCCGCCTTACGACCCTCTGCCTCGGGTTTGCTGCTCACCACGATGATCTACATGGATGAAAGGGGGTGGAGTGTTTAATTAGAAGACATGTATTTGTAATCATTTATTGTGTGTACATTTATTGTGTGTACATTTATTGTGTGTACAGGGCCTCTCAGAAAAACAGTATTAATTCTGAGAGAGTTACCCTGTCTAGATAAAATGAATAAATAAATAAATAAAAAGAAAACCCACTCTTTATTTCATATTGCTCAGAATAAAGATAGAAAACCCAAATGTCAACAATATAAAATTAATCCAGTGTAAAGCTACATACTTAAAAAAAAAAGAAGCATATCTGCACTAGTTTGGCCAGGAGGGATTAGACCTCCCTGCATGGTCACTGACAGGTGGTTATCTCATCAAATCAGCTCTCACTCCCGCCCCCCCCCCCCACTCAGTGTTATTTAAGGTACGCATATGCGTGTTCCCTCCTTTTGAAAACGCCCCCTTAAGTCGGGTGTGTAAAGTCAATTTCGTGTATGTACAAGCCGAACTTTGGTGCATGAAAAGTACCCCTTTACCGGACATTTTGGTAACACGCATGCGGTCATTCCGACCCTGAAGTGGGGGGGGGGGGGGGGGGGGGGGCCGCGCTCTCACTTACCATAAGAAAAAGGAGATCATGGGGGACCAATGGGTACCGCTTACCGGTAGACATTGTTTGCTATATAGAGGGCGCAAGTAGCTGTAAGTAGTGCAGTAGGGTTTTAAAAGGTGGAACTCAAATGATGCAAATTTTTATAAAAATGGGAGAGAGAAGATACTATTTTAGTTGGAACTGGGTATAAACTTTGCATTCTCCTCAGTATGTCATGAAACATTACTATGACCATACTGCAATTGATGTTTCAAAAGTGCAGCTTTCCAATGGGTGGATCAGGGTAATTTCGACAGCATTATTCTAGTAGTGTGTTCCTATTACTGCAAACTTCTATGCATGATATGGATACCATATTATGGTGTAACACTGGATGTAGAACACAATATCACAGATAATTGAACATACCAGGTATTAAAAATAACAATGAATCCCAATGTAACACTAAAGTTGAAACATTTAAATGGATGGAAATATATCAACATTGAAATGGTGGAAAAATGTACGACATAACACTGAAATAAAGTCATAATATGGTTTAAAAAAATGAATATCAATATAATCAATGAAATATAAAGATACTGGTAATGAAAAACAATATAAGAACACTGAAATTTACAATTGAGTCAAAATGGACAAAACGATAACACTGGAAAGTTTATAAAATGGTATATAGTATACCAGAATAATGTTGGTTTATAGTAAACATGTGGTTAGAAAACAAATGGCATATGCCAATTAAGCTGACTTACTATGGACCGACTCCGTGTTTAAGAATGAGACCAAAAAATAGGGTGTGCATATAAAACATGTGCATGTATATGTAATGTGGTTAGAATATTTGATTATTAAAACTCTTTTATCATTTAGACAGGGAAAAAAACCTGCCCAGAAAACATGCTGCCCCTCCATTGGCACTGTACTCCTGAAAGAGACCCAGAAACATTTGATCCCCTATATATTCTGTACATTCAAAATCCTGAAATGACTAGAATGACTAGACACAGAGGCCCAAATTCACAAAGGAGGTTTCAATTTAACCCATGGTTTAAATCTTATTTACATAATAATAAGCGTGACACAGTCAGAGGTCAAATATTAGACGCACGCAAGGCAAGGTACGCTTAATTTGCGCTAATTTTAAACCATGGGTTATGTAAATGAAGATTTAAATTAAATTTAAACCTCCTTTGTGAATTCGGGCCCAAGGGTTGACATGGTTTGACTATCAGGGCAGAATCCTGAAAACCGGCATCTTTCGTTTGAGTAGTAGTGGGTTTTCATGGAGAATTTGACATCATTCGGGTGTTTACCCAATAACAGGTGATGTCAGTCATAAAGAGTGGGCTTCATTTTTACGACAATCAGGTCTTATGTAGTACACTGTGCCCTAGCCTTACCGCCCTATGGAATTCTGAACGTAATATCAAATTTTCCTCACCCTCCAGAATCAAGGAAAGTCAGAATATTTTCTTGTGGGACCACAGGTTCACTGCTTCATAGACCTTTTCACACACAGACACATTAATTGGTAATTCAACCTCATCTGGTGTCAGTAAATTACCGATATGATGCAATAGACACGGACATTGACAACTATGTGGCTTTAAAGGTTTACATACAGGCACTCCTTGCATGCCTTTACTCAAGAGTAATATCTATCATGTCGACGTAACTGATATTCAAGGAATTTTAATGATTATTAGTTGATGTCACTTTTGATGGAATGAATAAACTGTCAAATATTTAATATTGAATGTGATATTAGCTGTTAACACTAAACAAAAAGATGTTTGGATTAGGTATACAAGTGATGATTTTGAATTCTTTGGTATTTGACCCCTAACCTCTGAAGTAGTCTTTTCTCCAGCTGTTTTCGCTGAAGGTTCCTCTGTCTGCTTTTCTTGCGGAACTTCAACATTATCTTTTTTGTCGTCTTTTTTAACATCGTCTTTCTTTTCCTTTTCCTTTTCCTTTTCAGAAATAAGGATGGACACGATTGAAATAATTAAGGGATGAGAAAAAATTAATCTCTTGGTATACATACATCAACATGTATCACTATCAGCAATCATGTACACACTTCACATGTTTACGTAAATGCATTGATGCAATCTGGCAAAAATATAACTCTATTGGGATTTCAAATACCTGTAGACTTCATATGCATTCAGCTGTTGTTTCAAGCTTTTAATATTAATAATAAAAAGACATGCATCATAAGAACAAATTTACATACATGTAGCTGAATTCTGATTTTGTGCCAAGTCTCTCATTTTATGCCATTCTATGTCAGATACATGTATGCACCTACTTGTCACTAGTCTTTAAATGAAATAACAATTAACTTTCTTGCTCCTTCAATCTTTCTCACATATTGTTATTGGTCCAAATTCTTGAAAGTTGCATGGGAAAAATGAATCACAACGCTATAGTTTCATAATGCACAACAGTTGACATGAAAATACCTTACCATAACAATCTGCATGTTCACATTGTAAAAGTTACTCATTTTGCAAAACAGTATTCAATTAATTACCAGGAATCATACACTGTACATCTGTAGGTACTGGGGTGGGGCAAAATCACACCTCACATTTTCGTTATTTAATGTCAGATTTTGGCTAAATGAAAATTCTTTTAGTTCCAAGGCTTTCTGCTTGCAGAAAAACCTTGCTCATATATTTAGTGATTTCAGTCAGCTGATAATCGACATAACATATATCTCTTTTACATTACGACAATGGAAATTCATTTCCACAACAAATTTCTTAAAATGTTCTATACACACCTCCCGCATGATCTCCTCCCCTTCATCCTCAATGGAATCGTCCACTGCTCCATCTGCTCCTTCTTTGTCTGGGGTCGTTCCACTTTCTGACAGGGGGGATGGGAGAAGAAGCTTAGAAAGGGTAGGGGTCTCTGTGAGACAGAGTGATGGGTAGTAATGAAGCATGATTAGTGTGTTGGTTGATCAATGATAAGCAATGGTGCTATATAAAGCTATTCATAAACACAGACGTATTTGCATGGTTCATCTCTTCCAAAATGTACTCTTGTTTTGTATTCACTGATTTTTCTTTGTCTTTGCCAGATAAATAATAATAATATTTTTATGCAAACTATGCATCAAGTGCTCTGAAGCGGTGTGCATAAACCAGTCAATCAAGTGGAATAGTGTGCAGCATGGGTTCACATTGGATAAATTAGTAACATTAGTTTGTAAATGTATTAGAAATAGTATACATTCATAATCTTTAGTAAGGCCAAAAGGCCAACAAAAAAAAAAAAAAAAAACCAGACCAAATGTGCTGCCATACATCAAAGATATGACATGATTGCTTTAGAAATTTGCTGGGTATGACATACCATTAAAATATTTGAAAGGTAGTAAACTCAAATAAATCTCCTGATTTGAGGAATGAGCACTTAATGCAAAAGATGAACCACAAATCTGCCTGTGCTTATACTACAATACACACAGAGAAACATCACACACACACGCGCACACACAGAGGGATGGGGTAGAAGGATGACGTGGGGGCAAGGAGCAAACTACAAGAGGAGGAAGAGGAATCTTTGGGGCAACCTTTCAAATAACAAGATAAGTTTTGTTGATACCGGTAAATTAAAACAGTAATTGTCCTACTTTTGTGTGTAATTTCCATCCTACATTTTCTTTTTATGTTAAAGGTATTATAAATTAGTCCATCAAGTCCTAACTGCATTTTTGATGGAAAGAGAATGAAGAAAGAGATGGACTTACTAATTGACACATAGTCTAATTTTTCTATGATGCTATGGCACAATGGATATGTATACAAATGAAATGGGAATATCATATACATGACATGAATAAATATCAAATCTGAAATCAAACTGAGGATATTAAAATGGCATGGTAATATCAAACATGCAACAGTAGTGATGGATTGCTTATACCGGTGATTGTTTTGTTCTCTGTTAGATATAGGACTGTGGTCTTGCCATATATCAGATAATGTTTTGAGGAAGATCAGAAATTGTGCACACATGAAATGCGCTTTACACACAAATACACAAAATCCATTGAAATCATAGATACTTCTTAATAGTTGTATAACTTGTACTTTTTATGCCTTGTATTAGATTTAAAGGGAGTATTAAAATAAAGATGAAAAATGTTTGAG